CCTGTATTGCTTTTCTAGGGGGTAGGTACTGGGCACAAGTGGTTCCTGAACACCTGCAGTGGGAGGTGCAAGTGAGGAGTCCCCCTCTTGGGGCCACATAAAAGCTTTCATGTCTGTGTAGCTGGGCCAGACCAGTAACACTGTCAGCAGCAATTCCTGCCCTGCCTGTGTTCCCTGCCCAGTTCTGAGCCTGTCCCAGTATTCTGATCTTTTGAAACCTTCAAGAGTTTGAGGTCTCATTTTTTTTCAACAATTCTTTAATCCTGGAACCTAAAGTTGTAGTTTTCATAAACAAGGGGAAAATCTCAATGGATCGGTTCGCTAGTATGCCTAAAATTCTTTTGGGACACAATATTCTTTATGGAAGGGTTTAGTTTCTGGAACATGTAAGAGTGCTTCTTCAGTCCATGAAATTTTATAAAGGTAGAGTTTTGCAGAGATAAGAAGTATTAAAAAGAAAAATCTTTCAATTCTATAATTGCAGTTAGATTCGGTACCTTCTGATTGAGCTTTTAATCTTGCAGCATCTCTTACTGAGCATTTTAAAGTACATGGGATTCCTAAGTGATTTTTTTTTTCCCCTTTTTTACAAAGGCAGTTCTTGAAAAGAAAAACATTCATTGCTGACAGTTACTTTGGTCAGATGCTGAAAGCAGAAATACTCCAAATATTGTTATTTTAAACCAATAAGGAAGATTAATTTTTCCCAAACAATTAAAAACTGGTTTATAAATAAAGCTGTGGATCTTTATCAACTTGATGTAGGATCTGAAATAAGACTCTTTAAAAAAAAAAACACAACAGAGAAAATACACTTTATTTTAGCGTGCAGTAATTTTAGCAGCTTTTTAGTTTTAGCAGACATTTAATGAAGACATTCACATCAACCCCAAACTGTTCTGGAATCCTGCTTCTAATCCAGTGACTAGTTCAAGGCTTAATTCTTCAGACAAACGGGAAGGAAAGCTCCTCAGATAGTTAGTTGTGTATAGCTTAAATGAGCAGTTCTTGAGTTTCCAAAGGTTTCCTGGGACTATAGTGTGAGGTTGTTACTAAGTCAAGCTGAGCCAAAATACCAAATGTGTAACTCCTGCATTTTGTCATATTCTCTTCATGCACTGCACTAAATTCTAACTGAAATTCTTGAGGTTTTAGGGCCTTTCATAGCCTGACGAAACCTTTAAGAGGGACATTTTAAAAAGAAAATGTTTGGCTTTGCATGCCTACATTTTACTTATAACTAAGGAGAATGAACCAGAAGCCTGATGTCAGCAGGACATGAAGTTACTGTAAACTTCCTACAGTGAACTTGTTTTTTTTCCTGCTGTCAGGGACCAAAGAATTATTTATTTTAAAACTATTTGGTTAAAATGAGTCTTAACAGTAAGTGCTGTATGCTTCTCTCAAATAGAAAGCAATTTTTTATATGCTGTCTTGTTCACTGTGTTTCTTGAAATTGTTTAATGATTATTTATTGGCATTGTTGCCTCCTCTAGTTGGTTTAATTTAGAATATGCCCTTTATTTCAAGAAATGGGGGAAAAGTGTTTTCACTTTCTGACGTCTTAGCCTGAGGATGCCTAAACTATTAATTTAGAACATCCAGAGCTGTCCCTAAGGAACTGGTGGGAGTTAGTTTTGTACAAAGGCATTTGGTAGATATAAAATGTCTTTGATGGTGCACTCAGCTTTTGTCCAACCACCTGTGTGAGAAATGCAGGGGTCTGGTGATTGGCAGATCTGCCTGTTCCCCCTTCTCTCTCCCCCCCCCAAAAAAAAAAGTCACCTCCTTGATGAAATTGATTTGTCAGTTTGTTCCAGTCTAATGGTGTGATAGCCCAGCAGCTTTCAGTATGTTGAATAGTTCAAACCTGCTTTTGAGGTCAGTGTCAGCCACTCTGACCCCTGTGAACTGTCACCTGAGTCAGAATTGCAGGGATTAGGCCTTTGATATTGTGGTGGCTTCGCCCATCAATTGACTTTTTCATTACTGAAGATGTTGGGCCTTTTGTTTCCCTTCTTAGTATGTAACCAAGCAAACTCCCAAGTAGAAGGAGCATTTGTTCTTGTTCTCTCTCCTTGCAAGTAATAGAAGGACTCATCTTTTGTGAAGCCTACCTAATTAAACATAGAAAAAAAGCATTAAAAATAAAAAATATGCTATGATTGCAAGTGCTTTTGTGCTGAGCATCAGTTTCTGGCCAATCCTTGTTTGACAGATTTGTGAGACTGGGGACTAACTAAATGTTGTATTTAGAAAGCAAATATCAGATTAGAAGTTACCAGCCCTTCTTTGTGTGTGTGTTAAATTTCAACAGAAGGATTATTTGATTTCTGTAATCCAGAGCACTTAACTCTTACAATACATATAAGGTCTATGTTGCTTTAGTGTGTTTCCTAGATATTAAGTTGTTCCATCTGTTTACCTTCCATGTCTGTCTTACACTTGTAGCTATACAGTTTGTTTCAATGCAGATCAAAACTTTACCTAAGGATAAAATAGTTGCTACTGTAGCTCAGCATTGGGTTCAGCTTCTTTTACTTGTTAGTTTTTCCTGAATTCTTGCTTGGTTTGTTTACTCCTTGATTAAAATGAGTAAATCGATGCATAACATAGATAAGGAAAGGTTCATTCCT